TTGTAAATAATTTTGTTTAACGTCACCAGTGATGAGTCATGCGGATGTCACGTACCCCAATACGATGCACTAAGGACAACTCATCTCTGTGGGATCTTCCTAACCCCACAACCTGTCCAACCACAAGAAGACATCAAACAAACCCAAATGAAGGCACATCCTGCAAAATACCTGACCAGGACTCTTCAAAAGTACCAAGGTGATGACAAACAAGGACGGCAGCTATCCTATACCAGAGGGGGCAAAGGAGACAGGACAATGCAATGCAGTGTGGCACCGGGGGCGTGGTCCTGAGATAGGAAGGACATGGGGGAAAACTGACAAAATCCAAAACAAGTTCGTCGCTCGGTGAGTAGTGTGGTGCCAGTGTGAACACCTCAGTTTTGACAGAGGCATCATGGTAATGTGATAGCATTAGGGGAAGCTGGCTGGGGTATATTATGGAAATTCTGTGTTGTCTGTAATTTTTCTACATATCTAAAAGTATTCCAAAATAGTTTACGCTTTAAATAATTTTGTTAGGAGACTATTTTGATAGCTTCAGGTAAACTTACAGGATCTGAAAACATCCTGTGTCATTCAAAACCTGACTCTGACTCGATGCTCAACATTAATTTGAAAAATAAAGAGCTACCGAAGGGAAATCATATACTGGAAACGAAAAAAGCCCTAATAGAACAAGTTTAGTATGAATTTCTTATCATCACCAACTTCTTTGGCATGTTTTGTCCGAAAGGTCTCAGAGTTTGGCTGCAAACCCAGCCTCCCAGCAGAAGCCAGCTGTATCAGGTGAGGCCGATTCCCTGCTCAGGCAACCCAGACCTCCCTGAGTGGCCACCCCAGCCAGGAGAGCTCCTCCCCTGCTAGTCCACGTTGGGGCCCAGACTCTGCCCAGCTCTCTGAAGCAGCCCCACAAAGGCCGGCCACCCCCTCCTGCTCAGACACTAACTACTCTCCCGCCTTGGGCACCATCTGCAATGGCTGTGCTGCTGTTTCCCTTCTGCCCTTGGGGCTGAGAGAAGGACAGGAGCATGAGGTGGACCATCCCCCTCCAAGCTGCAGAAGCAATCTTTTTCACAAAAGAATATCCTCTGCCGGGCGCGGTGGCTCAAGCCTGTAATCCCAGCACTTTGGGAGGCTGAGACGGGCGGATCACAAGGTCAGGAGATCGAGACCATCCTGGCTAACACGGTGAAACCCCGTCTCTACTAAAAAAATACAAAAAACTAGCCGGGCGAGGTGGCGGGCGCCTGTGGTCCCAGCTACTCCGGAGGCTGAGGCAGGAGAATGGCGTAAAACCGGGAGGCGGAGCTTGCAGTGAGCTGAGATCCGGCCACTGCACTCCAGCCGGGGCGACAGAGCCAGACTCAGTCTCAAAAAAAAAAAAAAAAAAAGAATATCCTCAGGCCGGGAGCATGGGGCCCATTCTGTTCATAACCACTTCTCCTAAACCAACCGGGGCCCGCCCTCACCTTTTTTGCCCCAGACACAAAGCTCAGTACCAGCAGCATCTGCACAGGAGAGTCTGCTAAGATTTTCTTTTTTTATTGAGACGGAGTCTCACTCTGTTGGCCAGGCTAGAGTGCAGTGGCACCATCTGCGCTCACCGCAACTTCCGTCTTCCAGGTTCAAGCAATTCTCGTGCCTCAGCCTCCCGAGTAACTGTGATTACAGGCACGTGCCATTACCGCACGGTTAATTTTTGTATTTTTTATAGAGACAGGGTTTTTTTTCTAACATAATTTTGTGCTTAAGACTTTTTATGGAGGGTCAGGCGCAGTGGCTCACACTTGAAATCCCAGCACTTTGGGAGGCCGAGGCGGGTGCATCATGAGGTCAGGAGATCGAGACCATCCTGGCTAACAAGGTGAAACCCCGTCTCTACTAAAAATGCAAAAAATTAGCCGGGCGTGGCAGCGGGCGCCTGTAGTCCCAGCTATTCAGGAGGCTGAGGCAGGAGAATGGCGTGAACCCGGGAGGTGGAGCTTGCTGTGAGCTGAGATCACGCCACCGCACTCCAGCCTGGGCGACAGAGCGAGACTCCGTCTCAAAAAAAAAAAAAAAAGACTTTTTATGGAATGAGAACACAATGCATTCACCAATAAAATCTATATTTAGATGCACATTTTTAAATTATGTATCTGATAATAACCAGCTATGTACATACAATCAGAAGACTATAATTCTGACCAGTGAAAAAAAACCCATGAAAGAAAAATGCCAACCTGCACGAAGAACACGTGAGTTACCAACGGAAAAGCAGCCGGAAGCACTCCGAGCATCTGAGCGTCTGAGCCATGCACTCCCTCAGCCTCACGTCCAGAGTCCGGCCCAACTCGGAGAGAGAGAAATCGAAAGCCACTGCTCTCCATGCTCTCTGCTTCTCCCCTCACCTTCCCCTAAGGACGCAGCCACCTTTGCAAAAGACAGAACCACCCTAGGGAGGGCAGGAGCCCACTCTGCCTAGTCCCCCAATTCTACCTTGAGCAGAATCATTACATGTTTCTTTGTTCCAAAGGGAGGATTCCAAGCCTCACCCATTCAGAGTATCGGCCCTCAAACAAGGCCGAATCACAGCCTCTTTCCAAACAGCTGCTTTCTGACAGCAGGAGGCTGAAACAGGCCCCGGGGTCACAGAGCTCAGCCATCTGCCAAAGAAATATGTACAGTCAATCCACATGAAGACACCCCTCCTGTCTCCAGCAAGGCATGGTCAAGACGTTCAGGCCCAATCCCCGGGAAGACATCCTGGACGGTGGCACTGAAGACTTCCTTACACAGAGTGCTGGGCTGAGCTGCCCGGCAGACCCTCCCTCGGGGGCTCTGAACGTGAGGGGCAGGGTGACACTGGAGTTTCTACCACTTATGAGGCAGGTACTTAACGTCTCTGCAGCTCAGCTTCTGCACCTGTAACATGGGAACAACAGCTACCTTGCAGTGAGGTGTGAAAGTACCTAGGAAAGCGCCTGGCTTAAGTAGTCAGCTCAAGAAATGGTACTCACTGCCTCTGGCCCACTTAGCATCAGACTGGGCCAGGCCACTGTCTGCCTTCACGCTCGCACTGCTCCCTCTGTTGGCTGTCCACGCATACACACATGGGAAAGTTCACCGGGCAGGGGCTTCTCACACAGGGCCTACAGGGCCACCCTAAAGTCCAGATGCAAACCCACCCCAACCCTGAAGTGAAAATACAATATTAGGGCTGCCTCCACCATTATGGACAGGAAACACAGCATGTTCTCACATATGTACACATGTGGAAATCCAGCTGACAGAGATGCAAAAGCCTCGTTCCTGACACTTCCTCATGTGGAAATCTATCCTGTATTCTATCATTCTTGCTCACTGGATTCCAGTCTTTTTGTGCAAAATAGCTGCCTTACGCGAAGAAAACTACAGATACTAAACGTCTATTATGTGGAACTGCCAAGGCCGTGAGAAAATTTGCTCTTTCCTCTTCTCGTGGATGACACCAAATATACACCCTGCATTGCAACAGCGTCACTGGGTGCGAGTTAACCTCACAAACTTCGCCATGACTGTCACTGGGTGCAGGTTAACCTCACAGACTTCAACATGACTCTCGGCCCCAGCCTCCGCTGAGCCTGGTCAAGCCGCCTAATTGATGTTTTGCGTGTTAGTCAGGGCACTTTGGGGTACAGCCACATACGCGAAATAGCGAAAGGCATCCCTTTCACTCTCCAACATTTTTCTCAACTGAACCCTCTTCCGTAACACTTTGGATTATCATGCATCTCTACAAAGTCCATGAGTGAGCTGCAGAAGGTTCAAGAGCCTCCTGACATCGTTACAAAATTCAGTGTCACTGCATTTTCTCAGAAGAAGGCCCATACCTTCCCCTGCCTCTACTAAAAATACAAAAATTAGCCAGGCATGGTGGCACACAGCTACTCGGATGGTTGAGGAAGGAGAATCACTTGAACCCGGGAGGTGGAGGTTGCAGTGAGCCGAGATCGCGTCACTGCACTCCAGCCTGCGCGAGGGGAGCCAGACTCCATCAAATAAATAAATAAATAAATAAATAAATAAATAAAATAAAAGCCGCATCCTGAAAGATAAGGGATCAAGTAAATTTCTTTGGTTTTCCTTCATTTAAAATGTTTGCCTTTTAAATCAAATTTTGCAAGCTATGTAGACGTTCTTCCGTCACCCACTGCACAACGCATACCGTCGTCCCCAGACTGTAGAACTTACCGTGTAGAAAATATAAAAACACCAGGGATACTTTCAGCAATAGAGAGAAAATAAACACCAGCGATACTTTTAGCAAAACATTTCACCCAACAAGTGGTTTGTTTCGGTCCTTCCCGTAAAATCCCTCCTACCTGTCAAGCTCACTTTCCCCTCGGTTATCCTGCATATTCTGCCCCCCAGGGGCTTCCCACAACGCTGAGCACAGCCACGGGCAGGAAAAGCACCCAAATGCCCCTTGGCCAGGCGGTAAAAGGAGAGTTTACCCGACCACTGTCATCGAGAATCTGGAAACGGGGGCCCAGGCGCGTCAGGTGTTTCGAGCAAGAACTTGCACCTTCTGCTTCTCTCGCAGGCGGAGACGCCAGGGACCCCGTTCCAAGTGGAAGCCCAGAGCGGTTCCTCTACAGACAGAACCCAAAGGTAACCCTGGAGGCTCAACTCCAAGCTGCGCCGAGCCGAAAACAAACTTTCCAGGTACTTTCACCCGCTGGACCGGGTGACACCTCCCGGCCTCCCCCGCCCTCCGCGCGTCTGTCAGCGCCCCCGGCCAGGCCGGCGCCCGCCGCAACGCAGGCCCGAACTCCCCGCCGCAGTCGAGCAGTGCCCTCGGCCGGCGCCCGCCATCCCCCGCCCGGCCGCCCGGCCGCAGGTGAGGCGCTACCCGTCCCTGGGGACCCCGGGCCGCCCCGCCTCGCCGGACCCGGGCGGCCGCCGCACCCGGCGGGGTAACAAGCCGGCGCGCCCAGGCGGCCGCAGCGCGCTCACAACTGACTGGTGGTCCTGACCATGGGCCCAGCGTCGGCGCGGGCGCCTCTCCCACAGCGCTGCGCGTCTCGGCGCCTCCTCAGCGTCCTCCTCCCCGAAGCGGAGCCCCAGCGATGGCCGCGACGCCCCGCCCCCGCGCGACGCCCCGCCCCCGCGCGACGCCCCGCCCCCGCGCGACGCCCCGCCCCCGCGCGACGCCCCGCCCCCGCGCGACGCCCCGCCCCCGCGCGACGCCCCGCCCCCGCGCGACGCCCCGCCCCCGCGCGACGCCCCGCCCCCGCGCGACGCCCCGCCCCCGCGCGACGCCCCGCCCCCGCGCGACGCCAGGCAGGGCTTCCGTCGCACGGCAGACACCGCCCGCGCCCATTGGCCGCACCCATCGTCGCTCCGCCTCGGCCTGAGTGGGCCCCGCCTCCGCCCCAGCTGCATTTCCGGGTTGGGGCCTGGCTGGCGGGAGAGGCCCGGCCCCTCCTGGGCAGGGGGACCTCGCGAGAACCAGTCCGGGGCGGGGCGAGGGTGGGGCGAGCTGTCATTCCCGGCTCCCAGACCGGGCAACTGAGGCTCAGAGGGGACCGGGCTCCGGCCAGGGTCACCCCCGAGGTCGCGGCGGGGCTGAGCTCGAACCCGGGGCTCGGACTCCGGAGCCGGCACTGCGTAAACGCGGAGGCGCAGCTTCGCTAGTTCACAGCTAACAAGCGTTCACAGAAGGAAATCTGGACTATAAGTCACGTTCATAAGGCAGAAAACAAGCAATCCTACCACTGTCCATCGTCCCGGAGGCAGCCTCAGAGCTTCTGTCCTTGTCCATAAATGATTTTGTGGCGATTTGGTTTTGTTTTGTTTGTAGTAGTTGATGTGGATCATGATTTTTTTGTTTGTGTTTGTTTTTTGTTTTTTTTTGGGGGGGTGGGTTTGAGACGGAGTCTTGCTCCGTCGCCCAGGCTGAAGTGCAGTGGCTCGATCTCTGTTCACTGCAACCTCCCCCTCCCGGGTTCAAGCGATTCTGTTTTTTTAATTTTTATTTATTTATTTACTTTTTTTGTTTGTTTGTTTGTTTTTGTTTTTGAGATGGAGTCTCACTCTATTGCCCAGGCTGCAGTGCAGTCGCTTGATCTCGGCTCACTGCAAGCTCCCCCTCCTGGGTTCATGCCATTCTCCTGCCTCAGCCTTCTGAGTAGCTGGGTCTATAGGCATGTGCCACCACACACTACTAAATGTTTGTGTTTTTTGTACCATGGTGGTCTTGAACCATGTATCCGCCTGCCTCGGCCTCCCGAAGTACTAGGATTAGAGGCGTGAGCCACCGCACCCGACTGAAATGGGTTAAATTTTTTTTTTTTTTTTTTCCTGAGACGAAGTCTCGCTCTGTCACCCAGGCTGGAGTCAATGGCAATTTCAGTGCAACCCCCGCCTCCTGGGTTCAAGCGATTCTCCTGCCTCAGCCTCCCAAGTAGCTGGGACTACAGGTGTGTGCCACCATTCCCGGCTAATTTTTGTATTTTTAGTAGAGACGGGGTTTCACCATATAGGCCAGACTGGTCTCGAACTCCTAACCTCATGATCTGTCCCCCACCGCTTCCCAAAGTGCTGGGATTACAGGGGTGAGCCACCACGCCCGGCCAACTTTATTTTCTTTTTTTTTTTTGAGACGGAGTCTCGCGCTGTCACCCAGGCTGGAGTGCAGTGGCCGGATCTCGGCTCACTGCAAGCTCCGCCTCCCGGGTTCACGCCATTCTCCTGCCTCAGCCTCCCAAGTAGCTGGGACTACAGGCACCCGCCACCTTGCCCAGCTAGTTTTTTGTATTTTTTAGTAGAGACGGGGTTTCACCGTGTTAGCCAGAATGGTCTTGATCTCGACCTCGAGATCCGCCCGTCTCGGCCTCCCAAAGTGCTGGGATTACAGGCTTGAGCCACCGCGCCCAGCCCTTTATTTTTTTATACTGACACATGGCCATGCAGTTCTTGAGTAATGCACAGAGAAAAGGGAAGCAGTGAAGTAGAAACAACTTGAGGAAATAGTACACGGTGAACTCTAGAACACGGAGCCCAGGGTGGAGGAGCCTCAGGGGCAGGGGCCAAGGGTCACAAGGAGGCTGTTATGTGAAGAAAGCAGCTGACAAGGCACCAGAGGGAAGAGGAGAGAGGGGCAGCTGAAGGGCAAGGAAGAAAGGACAGTTCTCAGTTTTGCTGGAGGCCTCAATGGCAGCCAGAATGCTTGGCCAAGCGCTAGAGAAGCCAGACCAAGAAGCCCCTTTACCCTCTGGAGACACAGAGAAACCTCCCCATGGGTCAGGTCCAGCTGCCCATCCTAGGACACCACACAGGGAGCAGATGTCTCACCTGGCCCAGCACAATTCTCCGGACCCGGGCTGGAGGAAGGGGACTGACCCCTCTCTTTATCTCACCCTTTCCTGCCCAGAACCTCTGTCCATGGCCAATGGATGACCTCAGGCCAAGAATGCAATAACTTGGCCTGACGTTGTGAAGTCACGGTCCATCTAGGGAGGGGCAAGAAGATGACCAGAAACATCTCGGGAGGGGCTGGCAAGCTGCCTTATGTGTGTGGTCCTGTGCTGCAACGACACATTCCTCACTCACCTCTACAACGATCATGGCACGAGGGAGGAAACAGGGGTGCAGAGGCTAAGGAACGTGCCCAAAGCCCTAGAGCTAGTATATTAGTTATCTATTGCTGTTTAACAAATTGCCCCAAAATTTAGCTGTGTAAAACAACAAAGAGGTCTAACTCATGGTTCCTGTGGGTCTGGAATTCAGGAGAGGCATGGCTGGGTGGCCTGGCTCAGGCTCTCTCGTGAAGTTGCCATCAAGATGCAGCCAGGGCTGGTCAGGTGCGGTGACTCACACCTGTAATCCCAGCACTTTGGGAGTCCAAGGCGGGCAGATCGCCAGGTCAAGATTTTGAGACCAGCCTGGCCGACATAGTGAAACCCCGTCTCTACTAAAAATATACAAACATTAGCTGGACATGGTGGCAGGCGCCTGTAATCCCAGTTACTCAGGAGACTGAGGCACAAGAATCGCTTGACCCCAGCAGGCAGAAGTTGCGGTGAGCCCAGATCGCGCCATTGCACTCCAGCCTGGGCAACAAGAACAAGACTCTGGCCCCCCAACCCCCGAAAAAAAAAAATTGCAGCCTGGACTGAGTCATATAAAGGCTAGAGCAGGGCTGAAGGATGCACTTCCTAAAAGATTCATTCCCATGTTCCCACAGCTGTGGGCTGGAGGCCTCAGTCCCTCACCACTGGGGCCTTTTCCCAGGAGTGTGTGCTTTCAAGCCTTGGCAGTTGGCACTCCCCCGAGCAAGTGGCCCAAGAGAAAGAGAACACAGGCAACATAGAAGCCGCCGCGTCTTTATGACCTAACCTCAGAAGTGACACACCATCACTTCCAACACATCTGCTGGTCACACACAACAACCCTGATAGAAAGAGATCGGGTGTGCTTTGGGAGGCTGAGGCAGGAGCACTGCTTGAGGCCAGGTGTTTGAGACCAGCCTGGGCAACAAAGTGAGACCCTGTCTCTAACAACAAAAAAAAACCTTTTTAAATGTTTTACAAAGTGAAACAGGACTGTACAAGGGTATGAAATCCAGGAGGGGCCATTCCTGGGGGCCCCTTCAAGCTAGTTGAGGACAGAGTCAGGATTCCAATCTCAGGGAGAGAAAGAGAGAAGCAAGAAGCACAGGCCCGGCCTGGTCCCTGCAGGTGTGCACACCAGAAGGCCCTGAGTTACAAAGCCAGGGAAGGAAGGGCTCTCCCAGCAAGGATCCCAAGCTGGTTGGCATTTCTAGACTGACCCTACAGCTACTCAGTAGCACCTGGAAAGGGGACTAAAGGGGAAAATGGGGGGCAGGGAGATCAGGTGAGAGAAAAGGGGGCTCTCAAAAGACCACAACACTGGCCGGGTGCGGTGGCTCACACCCGTAATCCCAGCACTTTGGGAGAGTGAGGCAGGTGGATCACTTGAGGTCAGGAGTTGGAGACCAGCCTGGCAAACATGGTGAAACCCCATCTCTAGTAAAAATACAAAAATTAGCCAGGCATGGTGGTGCATGCCTGTAATCCCAGCTACTCAGGAGGCTGAAGTATGAGAATCACTTGAACCCAGGGAGGCGGAGGTTGTAGTGTGCTGAGATTGAGCTACTGCACTCCAGTCTGGGCAGCAGAGGGAGACTCTGTCTCAAAAAAAAAAAAAAAAAAAAAAAGCAAAAGAAAAGAAAAAAAAGACAACATGGTCTCCTGTCTGCCTCTGGCCCACAAGGCCCTGGTCACATGTCTGAGGCTCCCAATATACATTTGCTGGGCTGCAGATACGTGGATGGAAGATACATTCAGTGGTTTCCAAGCCACCGGGTAAATATCCTCCCATATAAGGCACACCAAGAGAGAATCAGACTTCACGGGGAGTCAGGAAACAGAAAGTTGCATGAGATCTTAGGCAAGTAATTTCCCCTCCTTAAACCTCAGTTTTCCCTGAGGTAAAATGGGCTGGCTCAACAACTGCTAAAAGTCCCAAAAGTGGAAAATATCCAATGTTGGTAGGAATGTAGAGAAAGGGGCGCCTTCATAAACCAATGATGGCAACATAGTATTTCCTTTAAACCTGAGCAGTGGGAATTCCTGTCCTAGGCCTTTCTCTCTAAAAGGCAGAATAATGGCCTCTCCAAAGATGTTCTCATTCTAATCTCCCAACCTGTGAATATGTTATTATGTGGAGAGATGAATTAATCAGCTGGCCTTACAACTAGATAATTATGGCTGGGCATGGTGGCTCACACCTGTAATCCTGGCACTTTGGGAGGCTGAGGCAGGAGGATTGCTTGAATCCAGGAGTTCAAAGCCAGCCTGGACAACATTAGCAAGACCCTGTCTCTAAAACAAAAGAAAAAAAGATAGCCGGGCACAGGCCGGGCGCGGTGGCTCAAGCCTGTAATCCCAGCACTTTGGGAGGCCGAGACGGGTGGATCACGAGGTCAGGAGATCGAGACCATCCTGGCTAACACGGTGAAACCCCGTCTCTACTAAAAAATACAAAAAACTAGCCGGGCGAGGTGGCGGGCGCCTGTGGTCCCAGCTACTCCGGAGGCTGAGGCAGGAGAAAG